GCGTCCCCGAGGGCGCGGTTCTCCAGCAGACCCGCGGCGAGCAGGAGGTCGCAGCGCCCCAGGGACTGGAAGCTCGTCAGGCCCGGGGCGGCGCCCGGCACGGCGCTGCCCGCCGGCCTCCCCGGGCGCTGCAGCCGCCTCTCCAGAGCCGCGCGGATGCGCCCGTGGCGGCCGAAGCGCCGGTAGACGTGGCGCAGGTAGCGCGCCCACTCCAGGGCCCGGCGCACGGTGGCGGGGTCCCAGGAGGCAACGTGGGCCGTGCGCGCGACCGCCAGCACCTCGGAGAAACGGTCCAGGTGGTCCAGGAGCGGCTCCATGTGGCGACCGGAGAGGCCTCACTTCCGCTTTAGCCCGGGAGACGGCTCTGCGAGCCGATTGGAGCGTGCGTGAGAGGATACGCCTCCCTGAAATGCTATTGGACAACATAGCTGCCAATTTAATAGGGGTTCCTTGACACGCCCTGCTAGCTAGTGCTTTTTTTTGCTCTGCGTTTCAGGCCAGAATAGAACTGTAATTTTTCACGGGAATAGAAGACTGCAATTCTTCATGGCAGTAAAAAGCCTCATCTTTCTCCTGCTAAGCAGCTGGTGGTTTCGAACCGCTGACCTTTCGATTAGCGAGCCAAAGCATATACCACTAGGTCACCTGAGCTATTCCTTGACACTGGGAACCTTATAATAGAGAAAGTCTAGAGTACAATTTTGATAATGGCATTGGGAAAATTCTGAATTGAGGGAGAATGGTCGCTGTGCGTGGGCATCACATGGATGGTAGTGAGTTTCCTTTGGCCTACTGATGAGAACCACCCGTCAAAACTTCTCACACTTCCTTTCACTTTGAGAATATCCGCAGTGGACACATAATGAATTCAAACAAGGAGGATGTGTGTGGAAGTTTATCATAATTCGATAGTGACAGACTTGTCACTGGATGCAAGAGAACTCTATTAAATTAAGTTTTAAGTGCAATTCAATTTGCTAAAAATGCCCCAACCAACTTACTGGGAGCCCTCTAGAGCTAGTGTTAATGTCTTGGGCTGCTAACCTCAAGGTTAGCAGTTGAATATCAGCAGCCGGCTCTTCAGGAGAAAGATTGGACTCAGAGTCACTCACAGGGTCTGTTCTACCCTGTCCTATAGAGTCGCAATGACTCGGCATCCACTCGATGGCAGTGAGTTTTGGATCCAATGGAGAGCACTGGGTTGGGCATGATCTCAGGAGGGACCAGTCCCTGGAGAGGGGCATTGTAATTGGAAGACCGAGGGTCAGCGTAATAGAGCATGTGCCTCAATGAGGCAGATTGACCGAGAAGCTGCAACAAGCATAGGAAAGACTGTGAGGTTGAAAAGTGACTGGGCAGTGGTTTGTTCTGATGCCCAGTGTGAGTGTTAACTGGCTGCGACACCTTACAAGAACAAAAGACGCCATGCTAAATTCAAGAGCCCTGATGGTGCTGAGGGTTAAGCCTTGGGCTGCTAACCAAAAGGTTGGGTTTTTCCTTGGAGAAAGGTGAGGCTGGCCGCGCTCCCAACGGCTTGCAGTCTTGGAAACCCTAAAGAGGAACTAGGTAGCTTGGCTAATTTATTTCACAAAAATGACTGAATGAAATGATATTTAGCAGTACACTAAAACATTTGACTATGCCCTTCTGCAGGAGAGAGGAACGGGGAGAAGGACCCATTTCTGGATTTATTTGCCAACGATTGTGTGCTAGCAGTGGTGCTCATGCTGTTCATTAAAATTTATTATTGGGTTTCTATCAGTGCAAACTCTTAGTTTGTTTTCTTAAATATAGCACCGTCATTTATTTTTTCTAAAGATATTTGTTTTTTCTAGAGATATCATCCTTGCTTGGCATTGTCAGGTAAGCGTGGCACTGCTAATCACAAGGTCTGCAGTTCAAAGCAGGCAGAGTCCCGGTGAATGGGGACTGACTTGATGGCAGTCGGTTTGGTAAGGGTACCATAAACCCTAATTTTGGGGGGTGCTTTGTTACTAGAAAACACAGATCCAAGTATACAACCTATCTTTAGCTAGTGTTCCAACTTCACTCATTGTTTATTATTACCTTGAGCACTTCTTATAGCACGTGCAGTGTACTAAGGATTTAGTGGTAAATAAAACAGATGTGATGCCGACAGCAGCCATTCATCTGGTAGTGAAGGTAGATATCAGAGTAACCCTAAATGTGGGAGGGTGGATAATGAAGGAAGGTTAACAAATCATAGGGGATAGGAAGGACCTCCTCAAGAAGTTGACTTTCTGACTGCAAGTTAAAGGATGATTATTGATTCAGTATAATACGGTACCTTTCCAATGGACCTTCCTGTTGATGTCACCTGAACTTGCTCTAGGTTTAAATATTTCCTTCTTGTTCGGTGACAGAAATTTCTTCTCTCTTTCTGTTTTTAATATTTCTGGTGACCTTTCCTTTCTTTTCATTGTTCTCTTGTTATTATTATTATTTTCTTCTTTTTCATTTTCTTTTTGTTTTTTATTGTTTCTGTGAGGTTTACCAGTTGATGAAGCACAGAAGGAGAGGGTGCACAGAGACAATAACTGATGCGATGGTTTACTGGAGATGGTGGGTAGGTAGGGTGAGGGGAATTAGCGAATAATGAATGTAGTGGAAGAGAGGGAGCATTGGAACTGATTGTGATGATATAAAAAACTCTTTTAAAGTAACAACTATGGAAGTGTATCCTATGTGAATTTTATTACAAAAAACAAAGGTGAGTGCTGAGAAAATCTTTTAAGAACAAAGGAAGAGGTAGTTAATAGGGACCTGAATTGAAGGAGCAAGACCAATTCATGAGGGTTAAAGAAATCCAATGATACTGTTTCCAGTCCAGTATAGCAGTAAGAGCAAACTCCTGTATCAAGCAATTCAAATTTATCAGCTGCTTTTTTGAGCTGTAAGGTGTTCTTGACCCAAGTCATCATATTTTCAGTTGCCTAATAAGCACACTCGTATCAGATGTCGGATGGACCTTGGCTCAAAGCAGAGTACAAAAGGATGTTTACATGTGTTTTATTGAGTTTGAAAAGGCATTAGACTGAGTGGACCACAATGAACTATCCATTACCTTGAGAAGAATGGGATTTTCAAAACACTTCATGGTACTCGTGAGGAACTTGTACATGGATGAAGAGGCAGTTGTGAGAACAGAATGAGGGAATGTGGTTCTGGTTTAAAATCAGGAAAGGCATGGGTCAGGGTTGTATCCTCTTATCATACTTGTTCAATCTATATACTGAGCAAATAATCAGAGAAACTGGCTATATGAATAAGAATGTGGCATCAGGATAGGAGGAAGGCTAACTAACCTACGATATGCAGATAACACAACCCTGCTTGCTGAAAGTGAGGAGGACTTGAAGTACTTGCTGATGAAGATCAAGAATTGAAACCTTGAGTATGGAGTATAACTCAATGTAAAAAAGATCAAAATCCTCACAACTGGACAAATAGGTAACATCATGATAAATAGAGAAAAGGTTAAAGTTGCTTGAATCCACAACCAGTACTCAAGAGATCAAAAGACACACCTTGCATTTGGTAAATCTGCTGCACACGACCTTTTCAGAGTATAGAAATGCAAGGATGTCACTTTGAGGGCTCAGGTGCCCCTGACCCAAGCCATGGCATTTTCCATTGCCTCCTATGCATGTAGGAGTTGGACATTGAATAAAGACGATGGAAGAAAAACTCGTGCATTTGAATTGTGGTGCTGGAGGAAAACGTTGAAAATACCATGGCCTGCTATACAGACAAAGGGATCTATCTTGGAAGAAGTATGGCCTGAGTGCTTCTTAAAGGCAAGGGTGGCAAAACTTAATCTTACATCCTTTGACTATATTGTCAGGTATTGTATACTAGGCCCTGGAGAAGGACCTTATGCCTAATAAAGCAGAGAGGCAGTGAAAAGAGGAAGGTCCTCAAAGAGATGGATTGACACAGCGGCTGCGACAATAGGCTCGGGAATAGGAACAATTGTAAGGGTGACACAGGGCTGGGTAGTGTTTTGTTCTGTTGTGCATACAGTAGCTGTGGATTAGAACTGACTACTGGCACCAAACAGCAACAACAGTATGCATATGAGGAGCTCTGCTGGTGCTATCAGGTATGCATCGGCCTCGTAACCCCAAGATTGCTGGTTCAAACCCCCAGCTGCTCTTCGGGAGAAAGATGAGGCCACCTGCTTCTGTAAGTTTTACAGAGCTTCGGGAGCCTTCTGTAGAGTGACCCCAGTTGGAATGGACACAAAGCAGTGGTCTTTAGTTGCATGTGAAACTGAGTGATGGATATAGGAGAACAAGCATGAATGCCTTTGAAAGATCAAGTGGGTAAAAAAAATTGAAGCTATCATGAGCTGCCAGGGAGCAAATAAATCTGTCTTGGAAGAACTATAGTTAGCATGGTCCTTTGGATTTGTTATCCAGAATGGCCAGTCCCTGGAGGAGGCATCGTGGTTGATAAGTAGAGAGTGTGAAAGGGGAAGATCCTCAGCGAGGTCCCTTGGCTCAGTGGCAGCGACAATGGGCTCAAGCATAAGAAGCTTGGTGAGGAAGGTAAAGGACCAGGCAGTGTTTTGTTCCGTTGGGTATAAAGTCACTGTGATTTGGAGCGGACTCGATGGCACCTAACAACATTGTAACTCCAGAAGACAGCTAGAGTTCTTATCGAAAACAAATTAAATTATGCAGATAAATTTGAATTACTCCCACTGAAAGATTAATGCTTTCACACTTTCCCTATGGGGATATATATTTAAATTTGATATGTAATTTTTATATACTTTTCACTAACTAGATATTTATATTAGAAAACTTTAAAGAGGAAACAATAAAATTTATATTGACATTAAATTAACTTGAAACTGTCTATACACAGCTTACACATACATCTTTGAATGTATATGTGTTTTGGCCTAATAGTAAATAAGAGGAACTTACTAAGAAAACACTTAACTAAATAATTTTTGGGGGACGTAAACCTCATTTTGAGAGTCTTTTTATTTTATAATAGGCAATATATACTCTAATTGTAGAACAAGAAGATCACACAAAACAGGTTCTGTTTTATCTGTGAATTAGAACTTGGATTTCATATTGAGTTGTGTAATAGTGTCTGGATGCCTTTATTTTTATCCCACAGTTATCAGTATATTGCTATATAAATACCTGCCATGAGAACCATTTTTTCTGGTTCAATAACTTCTTAAGTGTCTGTTGTTCTCATTTTCAAGTCTCCCAAACTTTTATGTGAATTCTTTCAGCACATTTTTTTCATCAATTCCCAACCTTCTTTTTTTTCT